TAGCATAGCATAACATAGCATAGTATAGCCTAGCATAGTATAACATAGCATAGCATAACATAGCATAGCATAGCATAGCCTAGCATAGCATAGCATAACATAACATAACATAAGTCAGATAATTTTCAGTTTACAGTCGGTTTAGCCTGGAAGACAATATAAAAGTGTAACAAACATTTTCACCCCTAAATGTTTTCTGGTTGCTTTTAGGATTTTGATTATTAAATTATTTAATTTGCAAAAATTTGCAATTTCATAACTTTTGACTGAAATCTGAAAACAAAACACTGTATTTGTGTTTATTCCCAGGAGAGTCAGGTCATTTCTAAACAGGAAATCATAATAAAGTATTATCATGGGAGTGCAGCCACATGTAAACAGAGGATTAAACTGATGTTAAACCGACTCACCAGTGCAACGACCTGCGGGCTGCCCTGTTTGGCCAGTTTGATCAGATTCAGCTCGCTGTATAAAAGGTTTTCCAGGCATCCATGGAAGTTCCTGTTGGGCAGGATTGGAGTTTGGAGTCCGTGGCTCTGGACCGCTGCCACACTGAGCTGCAAACAACATTAAAAACTACAAAATGTCACTCAATTTTATAAAGGAAAACCTTTTTAAAAATTCTATCTTTGAACATTATTTGCTGCTTTAAATGTTATGTAGAATATATTGAAGTCAAGCAATAGAAAAATACTGAGACAAACAAAAACTAAATACATTTCCCATCAATTCAGGTGGATTTTATCTGACGTATTTTCATCAGATGGGCATTTTTGGTTTGATTTAGTTCCAACACAGCAAATATTTTACTGAAATAAACGTAATGCTATAACACATATTACACATTAATGGTTTAAGACCAATAATAAAAGGTCTTAAACTATTTTTTCTTCTTTTTTGTTACTGCTAAGCCTGTCACAATAACAAATTTCCCAAAATGATAAATTGTCCCAGAAATTATTGCGATAAATGATGATAGTCATTTTGAGACCATTTTCATTTCACTACAATAATAATGCAACATTAATGTAAGTACAGCCTCTGAAAGATAGAAAAAACTTTTAATTTCTACAGGATATTTAACAGTTGAACTGGAAAACATTTTAAATATCCAAAATAATAAACAAAACTAAAATAGCTTTTCAAAAAAATATTCAGGTTTGACAGGGAAAACAGGCAAAAGAGGCAGGTAGTGCAAACTGAGTATATTTTTCAAAATGGCCGCTCTTTAACAGTACCAAAACGAGAATATCTCTGATGATAGTCGTTCACATGGAAATAATTGATCTCTTTTTAATTTATCATGCAATTAACTGATTTCTTACAACCAAGTGTCAATTTTTCTGCAAAATTAAACTTTCAGGTGCAACAAACTCTTAGTTGGTTTTATGTGAGGCAGTAGTTTACTAATTGCAGAGTTGATTTTTGACTTATTACAGTTATTCTCCTGCTTTACATGTGAATAAACTGAGTAGTGACAGAAGCTCAGTTGGTTTCAGTTACTCTGTTTGGATGTAATGAAGTCCCTGCAGGTTCTGCTTGTTTGAAGCATTGGCTGCGGACGCCGGCAGGTGTTAATGGTGAGCGTATACAAAATGTATAATGTAGGTGACGGGCAGGGGCAAATGTGACTGGCTATCAAACATAATGAAAACTGTGTTCCTATACTTTAACACCATCTGTGATGCAACAGCTGCTGCTTTTCCTGCTTCGTCCTCAATATGAAACCATCACTGACCTCTATACTACGGCTTGATGTTTACCAGGAACATCATTCAAAACATTTCAGTGACCCAAAGTCCAGTTTTAACACTCAGCTAAAAAAAAAATATTCTCATTAATATTAATCAGCACTTACCGTTTTTACTTATTTTCATGTGCTGCTTGCATTAACATAATTAGGTTCTTATATAAATGATGCGACTTTAAGTAAATGTCACTTTGCTTTATCTGATGATGTTATATGAAGTTTAATCTCCAACTATTTTTGACCTTCATGACTTAATGTTGCAATATTAAAACACTTAAATAAATTTACCATAAATGTTACTGAAATTAGCCAGTAATGTTTAATCTCACGCTACGTTATGCAGAAGCTCTGTCTGCACTAATGAACTTTTATTCACTTTAACATTTCTAACTTTTGGAAGGTGATGTTTTTATACGGGTTATTAATAAGTCTGGTTACTAACATGCAAATCCACTGTTTATCAAGTCATAACATTTTTATTACAAAATAGTTCAAATTAGGGTTCAAAGATGATAAAAATCCAAATATGACTTGCAACACATTTATAGATTTACAAACAAAAAGCTGAAAAACAGATAATTAAATTATGGAATGATGAAAGCAAGAACTCAGGAGAGTTTTCAACAAACGGATGGAAAAGAAAATATTTGAAGGTTTTAAGCAGGGGTGTCATAGTACCCCCTTCTTGGGGGTACTATGACAAAAAAACTGATTCTTTGTTGATTCCAAGTATTTAAAATAAATGGTTTGATAATCTGAAAATAGTCCTAATTTCTTCACATTTAAAGCCATGTAATCTGGATTTCTTATAAGCCAGGGTTCATGGAAGAAACGACACGGTATGAAAGCTTTATAGCAGATGTTCAGAGAAGATTTAAAACTCTCGATATAAGTTTTATGGTGTTAAGAAACAAAGCAGCAAACACAAAGATTAGCAAATCAAAGCGTATTAAAGAGTCTGAGGATTGTCGTAAAAGCTTTTATGTTTTGAAAAAAGCTTCGTGGCAGCATGAACTAAGAAACTGTTTTAGTTTTGCGCCGTACCGTGTGAATGTGCCAGCGGCTGAGCTCGGCGGGGACGAGGACCTGCTGCGTGGTTTTATCCACCGTCAGGTTGAGGTGAGAGCCGAGCCGCTCCAGCTTCACATGATGCCAGTGCTGGTCGTCCAGCAGACTCCCGAGAGAAACCAGAAGTTTGCCCCCAGAACCCGAACTCACATCTGCAAAGAAAAGGTTGTCCAGTTAAACAGAAGACTAACTAATGACACTGAATCTGCAATCTACAGTAAAATCTGCTTTTTAAAATTCACATTTTACATGTTTACACTTCCATTTGGGTTTCTACTGCTACTTTTTCTATTTTAATTTTTTATTCACCCATTTGTGTATATACAAGAAATATAACAGACTAACAAAAAGCCAGAGGTATTGATCTACAAAATAAATAACTTCTTGAAAAGTTACCTATGAGTTAGTTTTATTTCTAGTGTTAACAGAAACTAGACCAGAATCACTTGGTAAGATCTTCAGTCTTTGCAGTGAATTTGCTGCTGATATCTTCCTATCGAGGGAAAATAACTGATATTCCTACTTTACTCTGTTGTCTGTTGCATTAAAGTGCCACACAGTGCAAGTTTGACTCCAGGCTCCTCTTAAACTCTTATGCAGCTGTTTACAAAGAAAATTACTGGAGGCTCCCAATAAATCACCGAAGACAAAGTGTAATAGAACAGGCAATTGTGTCAGTAATGGCCACAGTCCATTGTCTTCTACTTTATTTGCTAACTAGCTCGGCTCAGGGAGAATCATTCCAGTATCGCTGCCTGGATGCCCTGCGGGACGGTCCGGTTGCAGCTTTTGTTGCTTTGAATAAAAGTGACTTTTGTTGCCAATATGCATTAATATTCAGGGGTTTTATTTCTTCAAAGCATAGCCAGGAACCGCAGCATGACCTTAATGCAGGGAAGAAAGTGAATTACTTAACAAGCAGCTGGACCCACTCGCTGCTCTGATCCCATCCTAATTTAGTCAGCAATACTTACGTCGTTCGTCAGAGGAGCAAAGCGCCGGAGCAGGACGCGGTCGCTCGAAGTGCACTCACTGCTGCGCGTTACAGCTTCCCAGAGACAAATCACAATTGAACTTAATCATAGAGCAGCAGGATGCATTAAAGTCAGCTGGCATGTTGATGAATGTGCGGGGGAAATAAGGTGATTTTAAAAACGTGGACATAAATCTTAATGAGTGACTCAATTTACTGCAACTGCTCAGTCACCCACAAGCTGGGAGGAAAGGTCTCACTACTATATTTACTTGTTTGTGTGCCTGTCTGCTAATTATAGCTTGGTATTTGTTGTGTTTTCACTGAGCCATTAATTTATGCAAATTTGTGTTATGGACCAAAATATTTCTTCTCCTGCAGAGTTTTGTGTTGTAGTTTTATGTGGCTCAGTTGCACAGTCAGCCGTTATCAACCATATTCAGCTACATTTTCCTCAGCTAGCTTGAGATCCACATGACAGCTGCAGGTATCTCTACTTCCACTAAAAATGTGCACAAAACTCTGTTCATATTTGGCTAATGTTGGAAAAACACAACTGCAATGTTTCCATTAATCAAGAAATGCAATTAGAATCACACATGAATAAGTTTGTTCACGCGATGAGTCATTAAACCAAACCAAGGCACACCATCACCCAAAGTGTTTTTCCACTGTAGTTTTACAAAATAAACTAATTTTGATACGGTCAAATAAAAAACCACCTCATGCTAAAGGCAAAAGTTTTTATTGAAAAATGTGTTTTTTCAAAATAGTTGTGTTTCCATTAAAAAATATCTTCGTAATCCCAATATGTGCAAGTTTAAGGTAAATGTAAACGCACCCTGTGGCTTCCTCTCCATAACAAATGAGCTCTAAACCTCATCAATATTCCACCAATGTCAACAAAACAGTTTCGCAATTTGGTGTTTCTTTTAAATAAGAAACATGATTAAAATCACAAGTGAGTAAGTTTGTTCACGCGATAACTCATTAAAAAATGTGCCCTTGCATCATCCTCCAACCACTTCCTGTCGTCTTCTTCATGGTTTCCACCAGTAGTAACATCCTGTTGGTCATGTGACTCGTGTGAAAAAGGTTTAGGGTTTAGATATGGACAAAAAAACAAAACAAAACACATTGTCCTAGTGCACAAACTTTATCGAAAAACAAGTTTTTCCAGAATGGTTGTGTTTCCGATAATTGAATTTATTTCCAAAATGTCAAACTGTGCTACGTCACGGTTGATGGCAGCTTGTGCTGAAGGGAGCAGAACGACCAGCAGGATCAGGTTGGGAATGTGAAAATAAGCAAGAGGAGCCTCAGAGAATATCTCACGCTCTCCTACGGAGATAATTCGCTTTAACCTCTGGGTATTATCTTCACTCTGTTAGTTTGATCTTCTCCTTTCTTCTTTAATCTTCTGTCATCTTTTCCTTTATTTCCCTCTCTTCTCTCCTCTGCCAACAGCTGACTGTGGAGGGGCCTGCTGTGGCTCAGAGTGAATGCTCGCAGCTACTGATCTAAATTACACAGTCTGCAAACTCCTGGGAGAGTCATATGGTGGGAGGACGTTTGGTGCAGCTGTGAGAAAGAGAAGAATTTCAAAGAGCATGCAATTCAAAAAGGGAAATCAGTGAAAGGAATGCAGAACGACTACGGGAAGGTCAAAAAAGTACAACTGTATGAGTTGTCTGTGTGGAATTGAAAGAGGCTTTTTGGCTGCTAAGCTAGTTGAGATTCTGATTCCACCCCAAAACGTTGTTTGATTTTAAGAAAAGTCTTTAAATTTCTCCAAATGTATGAACAGAAATCTGACAGGCTTATTGTTTTCAGTAGGTACGTTTCCATTGGCTGTAAGAGGAAGTGGTTGTTTGGTTGTGTTAAAAGTAAAACACTTTTTTTCACATCACGAGTCACATAAACCGGAACCTTCAGAGCCACATAAATACACTTACAAAGTCAGCCTTCTGCCACCTGAAGGACATTTAAAGGACTAGAGGACTAATGAAAGAGAGAAACTCATCCATGCGTTTATGTTTAGTCGCATTAATTACTGCAACAGCATCTTCACAGGTCTGGTTTAAAAAACTAATCCTCCAGCTGCAGCTGATCCAGAACGCTGCTGCTGCTGTTCTGACTAAAACCAGGAAGATGGAGAACATAACACCAGTTCCACTGAGAGAATAGACTTTAAAATACTGATGTTACATTAAAGACCTGCTGTTGGCATAGCAACCTTCCAGACCTCTCAGGTTTCTGGTTCTGGTTCTGCTCTGTGTCCCCAGAACCAGAACCAAACCGACTGAAACACTGAGTTCCTTTAAATCCAGATTAAAAACCTACCCGGTTAGAGCCGCTTATGAAACATAAGAAATGAAATATTGATCAACATCTTGATGTGTAATGTTTCAATAGTTGATTTTTGATGTAAAGCACTGAATGATAGCAGTGAAATCTACCAATTTCCCAAAAACGAAACTGTGTGATATTTTCTTTGAGCTGTGAGAGAGTTATGAATAAACAAGCAGCATAGAGAGGTTACTGCCAAGACAGGAAGAAGCACAATTCCCCCGAGTTTCTTCAAAATTGGATCAGCTCTAACTGAGATCAGATCTGACAAACAGCGTTCGGATAAAACTGCTTCCGACAGCTCGCCTCTTTTTATTTAAGGAACAAAACTCGCAGAAGGTATTAAATCCCATCTATGGATATGAGAACAAGGACGCTCTGCATAATTGCTGTTCAGTTTAGGCATTTAACTGACATTTGCTCAGTTATGAACAATGAATGAATAATGACTGAACAGAGACGGAGCGTCTGCAGATGAGAACGTCAAGATTATTTGAATTCAAATATTCAAAATGTGATCCGTCCTTCATCACGTCTTCAACAAAAACCTTGAATACTGATTACAGTTTTCGCCCAAAGGGAAAAATCTCACAGTAAGTTGTTGCATTATTACAGATAACAGGCAAAAGAACTGCATACTCTAAAACTTTACAGAATGATTACTGCAAAGCAAAGATCATTCTTTTTAAAAGTAATTATATCACACAATACACTTAATTGGACATTTTGGTTACATGACTTAAAATCTGGCAGTGATTAAAAAAATCTAATAATTATGGCAGCGTATTAAGGTCGTTGTAAAGAAATAAACAAAGAAAAGATTTTGGCTAAAAACCTGAAATTTTGAGATTAATCTTCAAACTTAGAAAGGTTGAAACTTTGCTAGAAAAACAAGGAAATTTTTTTCAGAGATTTTCATGTTTTATTTCATAAGTTTTCATGTATTTTCCTGCAAATTTTCAACTCATAACTTTAGACATTTTTCCTAAAAAAAATTCTGAGATTAAGCTGAATTTCTTTTTTTCTCACAAATTTCCAACTTTTCACTCTCAGAAAATTCTTTTAAAGGAAATTTCCTCCTAATTTTCATCCATCTGTCATGGCTCTAATTCACAACAGGAGCCTAATTGATGTCAATGTTTGTTTTGAACTCAGAAGTCAAAATTTTGGAAAAAACCAAACAGAATTCAGGCCAAAGTCACTTTCATCAATATCCAAAATGTAACACATATAAAACAAAGGAAAAACTTCAGGACTGAAATGTTTAAATGCTCTTCAACAAACTGTCAGAAAACTTCAGAGATGCTGAAACACTGACTTCCTTTAAATGAAGGCCAGAAACCCACTTTGATTAACAATAACTGGAACGTTGATCAATATATCAGATGTATATTTAATGATGATTTTGATGACGGCATTAGAACCTGTTCTAATGAGGAAACTAAAAAACACCTGACAGGATGGAGAAAGGAAATAGTCACTACTGAATGGATTTAAAAGGCTGAGTGTAAATGAATAAGCTGCTGAGGTCGGTACCTTGCTGGTGGTGGAGCAGCAGCTTTCCTCGCTCCAGCGCCAGGTTGAGGCTGTGGTCCCTCTGTCCCTTCGCGTGAAGCAGTGTTCCTGAATTCCTCAGGGTTTTAAACTTCAGGGAGATGCTCTCCCTCGCTGTCCAGCTCGTTCTGGCACTCAGTCTGTAGACAAGGCTGCTTTTCCCATCAAAACCTGCCACCTCAGAGGCTGCGAAACAGCAAAGCAGCTGAAAAGGTCTGATTCTTTACTATTTAAATCACATTAAATGAAGCAAATGATCTGGATGGTAAGGCTTGATTCAAAAATACAAACAGATGGCGCAACTTAATTTGCAAAAGTTAATGTCAAACGATATTTTAATTGAAGAGTTCAATAAGGAAAAATAAAGAAGAGTTTGTACTTAAACACAGTGAGTGTTTTTGCTAAACGTTTTCAGGAGTCACGCACCAGTTGGTAGATATTGTCCGCCGCTCTTCCTCTGCTCCAGCCAAGCTCTTAAAACTTGTATGAGTCCTTGTGTGGACAGCTGACTTCAGCTCTTACCAAAGATTTCCAATAGAGCTCAGCAGCTTGATTTGTGCCAAATGTTTCCTTGGTTTAAGACCAAACGGCTTTTCCTTTGTTTCTGCTACACAGAAACATCCTGGTGCTTTTTAGGAGTCATCATTCCTCAGATTTATTATCAGGAACCACATCATCATCTCCACCATATTTTAGAGAGAAATATTCAAAGTAAAGATGCATTTTCTACACAATTCAAGAGAAACAAGACATCTTGGCACTTAAACTCCAAGCTGCAGACCAATCTGTGTATTGGTGCATCAATGTGTGTGGATCTGTGAGTGCAGCTGGGGTTGTGATATATCTGTAGCCCAATCAAACACTTCCCAGATAAAATACGAGAACTTATAAATGCCACTGAGTAGCAAGCTGCTGAATTTGTATCTCTTTTACTAGAAGATAAAAATAAAATAAACCCTAACTTTTCATTCAGTTTTGATTTAAAACTGAATTTCTGCGGCGTCTTTGTGCCGCCAATTTGAGTGTGCAGTGAAATTGATGTGAGCACATAAATCTGTGTAAGCAAACAATAACTAGTGATGTTAACCGTCTATATCTAAAACTCGGTTGCTAAATATGCATCTGACACGCACTCCACTATGACACTGCAGCTCCTTGGGTATGGAACACCAAGAGAGCCAAAAATGTTGTAAAACTGTATGTGTCTTTCACCCACAAGGTGAAAGACGCATACAAATGTTAACATACAAATGACTGCATTCACAACTGAAAGTGTGTAAATCGGAGTTTCACATTATATTATATAGATTCGTTGTGACTTTGTCTAATTCATTGAGTTTTAGTTTTTAGAGTGTGTTTGCTAGTTTTTATTAGTTATTATGGGGTGCAGTAATTTACCAACAACTGACGTAAACTACTTATTTGGGGAAAAACAATTTCACATCATTTTGAAAAAAGGTTACAAAGCATATTATATCCATTATTTTAGTTTATAAACACACAATAAAGTTCCAGTTAGTTCTAGATTTTCCCTATTAATTATCATTTTTATTTCTTTCAGTTAATGAAAATGTTTTCTCATTTTCATTTTTCATTATTTTATTAGCTTTAGTGAACTATAATAACCTTGATGTAAATAAATTACATTCCTCGCCAATCACATTTGGATCGTTTTCATCCAATCGGAGTATTTCTTGGATGAGAAAGAACCAATCAAAACCAAGAAGTCAAAATGCTCCAGGAAATGGCAGAAATACCCAAACAAACTGTAGCATTTAAGAAAAACACAACATGATACTCTTGAACTTTGTAACCTGATAATTTGTAGTTAAGCAAACAAACTGTGCATTTCCTCAGCATGCTATAATTACTGTAACCACACTCACTGTATCTGCAGCCGTATATTTCCAGCCTGAGCCCGATCCGCCCGGTGGGGTTCCAGTCCAGTGGGATCAGGCGAAGGTAGCGGGCGATCACTGGCTGGTCAAGTTTGTACTGGACCACAGAGTCCGCGTTGCTGTTACCTGGAAACGCCTGAAGCAACACAACTAGATGTTAGTTTCTACACACAACCTAGATGTTGTAGCAATTCTGGATTTTCCATCAGCCTGTTGATATGTGCCATGGGCGCTAGTTTATGTTTCAGCTGTTAAAACCGTTACCTGCTCAGTTAACAGAACAGGTAATGTTCCTGACCCACTTGAAAAGAAACCTCTGATCTGTCTGTTTGTGGAGCTATTGTCAAGCCGGTTGCCGTGGCAACGGGCGTGCGTGCGGACTGGAGCCGACCACTGAGAGCGAGGACAAAAGAAGAGTTTGAATGATTTTTTGAGTTGCTCTTGAGCCGGTTTTGGGCGCTATTTTTCCCTTTGCTGTGGCGAACTGCAGCCGCTGCAATTTCTGAACGTAATCAACAAAAACGGACCATACACCAGTAAAACCAACTGAACAAACGTGCTGGAGGTCTGTTTGGGTTGCTAGGTAACGTGTGGAACTCGGCTGGGGTTGCTAGGTAACGTGTGAAACTCGGCTGGGGTTGCTAGGTGACAGGCAATCCTTGCTGATTCGTGAGGTAACATTCCAGAGATTTTTGAAACGGCTCATTTTCTAGACACCAAAAACATTTTTCTTTTTAGAATCAGTAGAAACCCAAATGGAAGTATGGAGATCAAAATGTGAATTTTGCATCGATATCTTGTCAATTCAAAGGGATTCAACTGTTGTACCGATTCCATCACTTGGTGACATAAAGTCTCCCCGGCGCTCAGCCTTGAGAAAACCATCTGCATTCTCCAACTTTGAGCTAACAGGCCATTGATCCCATCTGCTGATGACGCCTCTCCCTCTGTCCAGTGATCAATAACCCTTGGATCCCATTTTGTGTCCGTACTGAGCCTCTGTTAAAAGACTAATAGGTTCCATTTTCCCCCAATCAGCCGCCTTTGAAAATCCAGCAAGGTTGCCTGTGTGACAGTTCCCCACAGAGAAATGCCTTATTTCGAGACAAATCCCCTAAAGACCAAACCAACTCTTACAAAAAGTTAACAGTTGTATTTTTGCATGCATGCATTTGAATGCACTCGCTTTGCTCCATCTACTGAAGTTTGTCAATGTGTGTGTGTTAGCTGATGAGCCTTTGTGAGCGCGATTAGCTTCTCTGGAGCTGCATAATTGTGATCTCGTTGCTTTGAAGGGTTGAGCCTGCTGGGCAGCCGAGCGTTAAGCTCAACAAATGGCTCAGTTTCCTGCTGAGGATGCCGAGGAACACGCCATCTCGTTTACTCGCCCGAGGACCTTTAGAAATATGAGCTGCTTCTGACAAGCTTTCAGTCAGGGGAGGAGAAACGGAGATGAAGGAAGGATGAAACTTTAAAAAAAGCAAGGGAGGATGGAGGAATTAACAACAGAGCAACTGGGGGTGAAGAAGTTCTCAATAAAAATATAATAACTTTAAAGCCTTTCATGAAGTCTAAATGAAAAATTCTGCTGAATCAGGCGCAGCGACAAGTTTTAGCAAGAAACATTCATGCAGTGTAGCTTGTAGGCCTGGACAAAACGGCTGAAAACCTATCACTTATCACGATATACGGTTTCATGTTGATATCGATAATTAGTAAGTAGTTTTTTTATTTTCAATATCCAAAATACTGCCAAACTAATTGTGCGAAGTTTCCTCCATGCCATTGTTTTTCATTTTTAAGCAGTTATGAGGCATTGTGGTGAAACCTTAAACTGCTGTTGTGCAGATTCCTCAGCAGGTAGTTGCTAGGTAACCAAATAATTAGATAGTTGCTAGGTAACCAAAGAATTAGATAGCTGCTAGGTAACCAGAGAGTTAGTTGATTCCACCAACTTTGTTTAGCTGGTTGAGAAAGGTGAAGCACCAAAAGCCTTTCCTCTGCCTACATTTCCCAGAATGCTGTGCATGACTACCAGTCAGCATGTTAGACTGAGGGAAACATTTCAAACCCAAAACAATGACAGTATTTATATAATGTTTTGTTATGGAAAATCCATTTTTTAAAATAATTTTGTACTTCCATTTTGGTTTCTACTGCTTCTAAAAACACCCTAAGCACTGGAAAAAAATGCTGATTTTTGTCAATAAGTTGATGTGTTTTGGTGTCTGGAAAACAAGCCACTTCAAAAACGTTTTCAATGTAACATCACAAATCATTGTTGCCTAGCAATCCACACCGAGTTCCAGTACATTTGGTCAGCTGATTTTATCACTGACAAAGTGTTTAGTTATTGACTTACCATCCAGAAACCACTTGCTGCATTCTTGTTGGTTGTGCAGGAGGATCCACTTTTGCTTTTCAAAGATGTATGGTTGTGTAATTGCACATTTGTTTGCAGCCATTTTCAGGTGCGAGTGTAAACCTTGAGTTGGTGGGCGTGGCCAGCAGGAGCTTATTGGGATTTAAAGCGACAAGACACCCTAAAACAGCTCAAAATACTAAAACTCTTACTATCTAAGAATGATTTTGTGTAAAAAAAAAAAAAAAGAATGTAATTAACATGTTTTGTTTAAGCCATAAACCTATCCTAACTTGTTTAAGGAAGCATAACAGATCACCTTTAATTTTACTAGAAAGTTGGTTGTTACTAAGATGCCAGCATTTAGGCAATAACCACAAGACTGAAAGGCTAAAATTACAAAAAACTTTTAATAATGTACTTAGCTGTAAAGTATAGTAAAGTAAAGGTAGTGATAAAGTCTCCAGTACTTCATAAAAGTAAAACTCAGATGATTTGGTTTTTCTCCTTGGGGATAAATCTGAGTTGCTAACGTTCAGGTGTGACTGAAGCAGCTGTTTTTACAGTCAAACTCGCACCTTTTCTGTGACACTAAGCCACCCTGACTAATACATGCAGATTTAAGCGCAATCTGGCAGCTGATGAGGAAGCACCGCCTCACGCGCTGAGTCTCAAATCAAGTTGTTTTAACGCTGAAGAAGCCATACCTTCATTTTTTCAGGTGATGTGTCCTGGGGAGATTTTATGTTCTTCACACGATGCGAAAATCTTCTTTGCAAGTCTGAATTACAAGTCTCGCCACAGGTGGATATAGTTTGAAGACGGGTGTTCCCTTTCTTCTTAAAAGGAAGAAAAGGACGCCTGGAAGTTTCCCGAATAACAAATCAAATAGTAATCGAACTGCTGCACACGTACTTACACACTGGAAAAAGTGTAGCACAGAGTTGTTCATTCAAGCTAATAATTTACATTGAATACAATGTAAAATAATTGACTTGGTTGTGAAAGTCTATTTTTTTGCATTCTGAGGTGTCAATTTTGATTCTGGCAGGTAACAATCAGGGACAATTCAATACCAATTTTCTATTGTACTCAGTCAGCTTATA